CGGCGCATTCTAGAGTTTTTTGGTCAGACATCTTGCTGCTTCCTTCATGACATCGGAGCTGCCAGCTGAATGATGAACCAGCAGTGACGGCGCTAGGATTCCCCAGCCTGTTCCAAAACAGCCAAGGGCATTGGAGCTGGATGTGCCCAATGTTGGCACTGGGTTCAACATCTCAACTTGTTGCAAAAAGCCTTCATTGGGCCACACCGTCGCATCGATGACAGCAATGATGTACCTCTGGGTTACATGACACACACCAGAGACGGGACACCGCGGCTAATGTCTTCAAGGCGCACTGGTCCTTCTCCAGCTTGCTTTTCTTTCAGGGATCGCGCGAAGTCACTCAAAGCGTGCTGGCAGGAATCGTCTACCTGGCAAATCCGGCAACGCTTTGACATCCAAGCCTTGACAAACTCGATGCCTTTCCTGAGCAAAAACAAGTGGAGATTGAAATTGTTTCAGGGAAATTTGCAAACCAACTTGCAAGTCACAGTAGAGAACCAACTACGCAACAAGCGTGCGCTTGAATCATCTTTTGTCTAAGTCCAAGGCACGATTGCATCATTTTGCAATACTGCGCATCCTGGGCGGGCCGTCTCTGCGGCCAGAGTCAGTCTTGTGGGAATGGAAGCCCGGATGCGTTCTATGTCCGCTGTCACTTCCGCAGAAACTTGCTCGAAGGTCGCTTGGGCCACCTTCTGGATAGCAGCCGCTCGCTTCTCCTCTTGCTCCGCGGAGAGCTAGGTTTCGTACTGAGAGACCACGGTCCTCCAAGGGTGCATTTTCTCTACGACCTGAACCTCTTTCAAAACAGCGTTCAAACATATTCAAGCGCATTCAAAAGCAGATCAACTTCAATGAAGTATTTGTCAGTCTAGTAACTTGCGCTGGCAAAGCTCAAAAACTTGTCCGGAAAAATCCCGCGTTCTGAATGTCACCCGGAGGAAAAGAATTCTCAGCAGCCATTTGAACGTTTTGACTGACACAAAGGTTTGCAAACATGGAAATGAAATGTTTTTTCAACGCTTTGGCCGCTTCGCGGGAGGCTCGGGGGCACCAGCGCGCAGACTCGCCGTGTGGGCCCTTCTCTCCTTAGATAGATTGAATGTCTCTATATGACAAAACAACCAATGCGACAGCACTCCATTACCATGGGACCCATGAGTGAACAGGGTCAAAACAAAGAACCGACAAGAACTAGACGCTAAACACTCACAACGCCATCTGCAAAGCTCTTTAGTTCACTCAGAATCTGCCAATTGACGCTATTGGGAAAACGATCAACAGCGGGCGACAAAGAAAACCATCAATCGCTTCGAGCGCGTTCCAAAAAACTAGGAGTGAACCCATTATGCACAGGTTGTTCAACGCGAAACAGGCACGCTATCAAGGCTTTGCCAAGGATCATGCGCTTCCTCGCTAGAATGAGACTTGGTCCTGAAAACGGTGTTCGCTTGCTTTTCCGGGTTGCACGGCGCCCACTGGTTGCCCTGCCAGCACCACCTATCCAGGACTCACCCTTGGGCCAAAATACTCGAGGCAACTTAGACCGAGCGACAACACGTGTAGACAGGGTAGGTGTCACAAAGTCCAATTCATCCAAAGCACTTGACTTGGTTAACCCCAACTGCTCGCACAGTCTGGAGGTTGTGGTGCTCCATTGCGAAGCACGCAACCGATAGCACTGAGAAGTGTGGTGGACCATTGAGCAACAACGCTTTTGAAACACGCAGGGCTGAGCAAATCATTCAGAACTTCAGAACAGTTCGAGAATTGAAAAAATACTCTAAACTTGCCAGCGACACCTTCTCACTCCAAGTTCCAATCCGGCGACCCCTGCGAAGAGGCTCACACACTTCAATCTGGGCTTTGCCTGACGCAGGAATCTAAGAAGTGGACCCGGATGAGCACGATGATTTGCGTTTGCTGCTTTTGTCATTAGGCTTACTGTATTGCCATCTGAATGCCGGTACAGGCCTCGTCAACCGGGAACTGCGCTTGCGCATCTTTCAGAACAACTGCCCCAGGTCGTGGACAGGTCCAGCCGGACGGGAGCCCACAGAAATATTCTGCGGCTGCAACACTGAGATTCCTTCCTGGCTCAACTTTGTTTTCGCGACAAGCACTCTGGTACATGGTGGAGTGACGAATTTGATTTCCAAGATCCTGCACTCATACGCAAACGCTGCAAGAAAGTCTACTCTGTCCATTTCTGAGAACTTGGCGCTAATGCCACGCCGGCTGACTTCTTTGGTGGACGTCACACTCGCAGAGAAAACGCCTAAGAGATCAAGGTTGGCCCACCATCAACACATTAAATTGGTTGCCATGAATTTCCATTCAACAGCTGAAGATCGAACGAATGGTTCCCCACGTGTTGAAATTCTTCTTGCCAATAAACTTGCAAGCTCCATTGCTCTTGAACCCCGCCCTGCCGCGGCGCACCTCAAAAACTCCACTATCAAAACTGTAACCCACAAAATTGGTCCAGCAACATGCCTGGCCATTCGCAGACACCAGAGCCTGAAACAAAAAGGTGAGAGCAAACACCAACGTTGCAAGAGAAGTTTGAGAGCCTGCTTGTCACCCACAATCTTCTTTTTTGTTTTCAAAGCCTGCAAAACACTGCTCTTGGATGGTTGCAGCAAGGGGTGTCCAGCCCAGCCTCCATGACGGACTTCGGCCCCTTGCGGCGAGGATGCTGAACAAGTTGAGGTCTCGCCTGAATGGAAGTTCGATGATTGGCTGCTGACCCCTTTCTCACAATGTCACGCGCTGACAATCAACTATCAACTGAACTCTGAACACTACAGTCATTGCCTCAAAGGATGCAACTTCCAAATTGATCGGCCTGGTCATCCAAGCATTCTTCATCTGACCTTGCACCACACCAAAAGTCATGAGGCCGCAAATAGAATCAATGTAAATCTGCAAGGAATATCGCTCAGTAAACTAAAAGCTGAGGTTTGGACAGCGCTGTCACTAGTGGCAGCGGCATTTTCAAGGCTAGAACCCCACGCAAACCAACTGCTACGAATCGGATACCATAAATCATGCCACAGCAAGTGCCTGCGCGCAAAGCAAAACTGAATGATGCGTCTGCTGGAAACATCCCACACGCAACTACAAATGAGGGCTTGACCCACCAAGCACCCAGCGTTGTCACTGGTCCTGTCCTGCAAAATTGTTTAGCCCGCGATAAACGATTCGTTTTGGTAGCATACAACCCTCAACCTCAAAGGTTCAACCCTCTCGCGACTCCCTATTTCAATCATACTCACCCACAATCAAGTCGAAAACAGTGTCCGGCTGAGCTCGCTTCCAACTGGCAATGCGGCAGCTGAATGAAATCCTGAGTTTGTTTGAGGGTGGCCCAACAGTTCATCAAAACGCGGCATAAACAGGCAACAAGTGCATGATCAACATACAAGGCTCCGGCTCCGGCAGTCCGTGGCTCTGCACCACGATTGCGCGACCAAAGTGTGTTCAAAAATCTGCACAAAAGAAATCGTTTCCCTGGCAGGTTTTTTGCGTAAAATGTGTGGCAAATCCCAACATGGAAGCTGTGAAACTCTTCTCTTGAACACCCATCAAGGAGCGGGCGTACGCATGTTCCATGAAACTGTGATTGCAAAAGGCAACAACCTGAAATATAGAAAATGTCTCCGGCATGGCGCATGAAAACCGTGCCACTCCAAGCACTGCCAAGAACCGCCGCAGCCAAAGGTGTGGACGGTTGTGTGGACGGTTGCTTGGTCTCTCTGAACAGAGGAACAGATTGGCCTCCAATACCCTAAACCACATACTAAAACCTTCATCAAGGATAAAGGATTAAGTGCCGACTATACAAGTTGAAGACCCCAACACTTATTCCATGTAATCCATTTTTCCCACGTGGTCACCGCAACCGATAGAATTATTCCTAGCTGTCACAGCAAGACTCGTGACCGCTGAAGGGCATGCAATAATGGATAATGATTTGAGCTGTCTCAGCAAGAGATGGAAACCCCAATTGCTGGAGAAACCCCAAATCAAAGGAAAACTCTTTTGAGGAAGAAGAGAAAGAACAGGAAGGAAAGGGATTCCCCCTACCGCCACCACTGGGGGTGGTAGAAATCCATCAAACGAAGAACCACCTGCATAAAAAGAGCACCTTTCGATAAACAAACACAATCTGCCTAAAAACGACACTGAGAGCCTAGAAGAAGAACCGCGAGCATAAAGGGGGGGCCGTCCCCTGTGGAAATCACACAACGGGGCCGTCCTGTTGTAGGTGCCTATGCCCTTTTGTTCCTGTGTCTTATGCCATGCTTCGGCTCTCTCTCTCTTGGGTGCGCTCGTTGTTCATCTCCTTGACCTTCGTGGTCGTTTTCCTCCGTCTCTTTTTCTCCCTTTCTTTGCGGTGATTCTTGCTTCTCTGTATCCTTCCCTCTCTTGGTGTGTTTTCTTTCTCGCTTTGTCTCCCCCCCAACTTCTAATCTCACTGCTCTGCTGACCTTCTGGGTGTGGACTCTGTTTGGCTGCGGGCGCTCCTCCTACTAAGTTACCGTAAACCCACGACTTGGGGGTTCTCGGTGTGTGTTCGAGGATGTTGCTGTTGTTTCGTCCCCCCTCGTCCGCGCTTGCTTCGCTCGTTTTGTCTTGTTATCGGGCTCAACTGCCCTCGGTTGATTGCGCGGTCTTTTTCGGTCGGCGTTTTACGCGCATGTTTTCTAGGTTTTCGCTTCTTTTACGTTTGCTTTCAGGAGCTTGTGCCGCTATACCCTTTCAGGGTGATGAGCGACTACCACCAGCACAAAAGAAGGCACTCGTTGCATAAAAAGGAACACCTTGCCCCAAAACCACACCTGCCCGTCTATCCGCGTAAAAAAGAACTATCCGCATAAACATAAACACCTGGCCAAAATGCATTCTTAGCCTCATCAATATGCTGAAGACTGTTCACCCTATGCACTCGACTTGTACAAGAGCAGTTTACAGCTGTCCTCTAGACACCTCGCCTCATGCCTGCCCCTTCGTTCTTGAACTAGAGCCAAATGTCTGTCAACGTAAAAGAAGACAAACAGCGCCAAATCATTCAAATACCTATCCTAAGTAGTGGGATGTCAAACTTAAGGCTTCACGTGCAAATGTTCAAGATTGTTCTTTGTGCCTACTGACATCCTGGGTGTCTCACGGTACATTACATATCAGAAATTAATGGCACAAGAAACTTGTACCTAGAATTTACAGTCCGATTGATTGTCTGGGCATGTTAACAAAGTTTTTCTTGCAAGCTCGAATTGGGCTGTTGAGCACTGGAATCTACCATGCTCGCAAAGTCATTCGTCGAATTAACCGAATTGATATGAATTGATGCAATCACAAGGAAGTCTCCAAATGCAGTCTGAGTCTGCGCGATGTGCTACACGAAGGCGTCCAGATCTTGACCTACCGAGCTCTCCGTGAGCTGTTTTGAGTGCGTCAAGCTGGAGAGCATCAGGCCGCGTCCTTGCAGGCAAGCAACCAAGAATCTTCACGAAACAAAAGAATACAAACTGCACACATAATGTTTTTTTTACATGTTAAACATACAATACACGTTGACATCTTCGACAGAATCCTGCTTCAGATAAAGTCCTGTCGCTGGGGCGATATCTTGCCACAGTTGGCTCAAGCACGCTCACGCTGGCTTTGTTCGTTGGATGCCTGAGAACTAGACTTGGGGCCGTCTAATGGTCACCTCGCGCATCTGCGAAACTTGTTTTTTGGGGAGCTGTCTCCAACTCAGCGGGGGTGAAAGCTCATACCTTGTTCACTCGTTCAAGTCTTCCAAGCTAGCTGCGAGCGTCATCATCTTCTGCTTCATCCTGCAAACAAGCACGTTCAAGAACAAGGGCTAACGCGACAAGGCAGTCCTTCAACTGTTGCAGATCTTCATTGACACATTTTTGCCTGAAACACTCATTCTTTTTGCTAGGCTCCTTCGATCCAAAAACATCCCACTCAGACTCCAGCGCTCCGTGAAGAATCTTCAAAGCAGCTTGGCGAATCACTACCTCCAAATCACAAAGGTTCATCCAATCATATATAATCATAATATAGGCCTGAGAAGGGAGGGGACGAAAGCCACCCTCTGGGTTAGGGGTGCCCTTGGGGCAAGCCTGGCGCTTGCTCGCTGTTTTTATTCATGTCCTGTAGATGGACTCAAAGACATGGCGTGCAAGATGAAGTGATTGGCTAACATCGGGCAAAGAATACCTTTATGGGGTGCAGTTGACATCACAGCCACCCCGATAGGGGTAGAAACAGGAAGTAGAATACACAGGTTTGAGGGGGTGCCCTTTTTCGTCCTGGTTCAGGGGCATTTTGGAGGTTAAAAAGGGCACCCATAAGGAAGTGAGGGGCGCTTGCCTGCTGCGTGTTGCCAATCAGGGGGCCCATGGGCGGGCCAATCGGCAGGCTTTCGTGAGGATACATATATGTAGAGTGGACAAAGAGTCGCTGGAAGTGGTGAAGTTGATATTATTGCAGCCACTTGAGAACGGGTGGAAATAGAAAGTAGAATTAGAATACATAGGTTTGGGAGAGGGTGCCCTTTTTCGTCTTGATGTAGGGGCGTTGTGGAAGTGAAAAAGGGCACCCATGTAGTCCGGCGAAGGTTTGGTATGGTGTGTTGGTCCATGGTGGGTGGAACTCGGCATGGCTGAGATAAAAAATGGGGTAGTTGGTGGCTTCAACTCAGTTGAAAGGTGAAACATAGTTCCTGTGGGTTCAATGAAAGCCAATAAAGTCTTGGAAATCAAACACATAGTGGGAAAAATATGGGATGCAGCCCCCGCCGATCGAAGTCAACGTCACCATCGGACCCGGTCATGTCCAGGTCATCCTCCGCTGCGCCTGTCTCATCCGTATGAACTCCTACCCCATTTGGGGTGCCCTTTTGAGTCCGGCAACTAGCCTCTCCACCGGTAAAAAAGGGCACCTCCAACCAACTCAAAACCTTCCGCCTCCGCTGCGCCTGCCTCATCCACATGACTTCCCACCCCATAGGGGGTGCCACTTTGAGTCCGGCAACGAAGCCTCTTCACCATTAAAAAGCGCGCGCTCCCTAGCAATTCAACGCTTGTCCGCTGCAATCTCTTCTCTCTCCTGCCCTCAACAGATGGCATCATTACATGCGCTCGCGCCCTATATGGGGCGCCTTATTGCATCGACGTAACTCCCACCCTTGGTAGAAAATATTCGTCCTCCGCCGTGCTTGTCTCATCCACATGAACTCCCACCCTACATGGGGTGCCCTCTTGAGTCCGGCAACTACGCCTCTCCACCACAAAAAAGGGCCAAAGCAATGCAAAGCTTGCCCGCTACTGCAATCTGTTCTCTGCTGTACCCTGTTGCGCATGGTTGCCAGGCGTCGCAGCCCCAAGCAACTCCAAGATTTCTTGCAAATTGCAAGCCCTCTTTTCCTACCCATCCTCCTCCGCTATGTCTGTCTTCTAGCATTCTGTTCCCCTTCCGGCCCTCACAGTGTCTTAAGAGACGCACGCCTCCCTCTCACACCTGGTCGAGCACTAGTTCAATAGCCACCAGAGACGCGCATCTCCCTTTCTGGACAAGTCCCTTTCCTCTCATCGACATGAATTCTCACCCCTGGTAGAAGACGGTTTGCCTCCTGAGCCCCTCATGATGCTAATGATGCACTACTTGCCGTCAATTACATCACTTGCGTCGCAACACCCCAAAAACCACTCATTTTCACTACTTCTGGCCACCTCTTTTTTTTCGCTCTCCCCCGCCAGGCTCTGGGTTAGCCGAAACTTGCCCTCTGGCACCCCCCCTTACTCGCTTCGTTCGCTCCCCTATGACTCCATCGGCTGGCTTTCGTGATATATATATATATAGTGTGATGTCACCATCAGTTGACTCGAACTCGAACGCCCGACCGAGTCAAGAGTGGTCCAAAAGAAGTGCATCAGGGCACATTTAGGTTGCAGTGGCCATCTCATAGGCCCCTAGCACGAGAAGGCCACTTGGTGTTTGAGCTTGAGGTAAGCTGTTGAACCGCTTACATGGTAGCGGAGCCCTGTTGGGCGTCCGAATTTTGATTTTCGACCCTAGCTCTAGGCGCATAGACACCTAGAAGCAATGGCGGTGATAGCGCGCTATCGAGAAGGCGTTCCACAATGGGATGGAGCGGCCAGAACCTTTGAGGAGTACAGCGAACTGGCCGAGCGTTGGGAACAAACAGTTCCCTATCGCAAGAAGTGCCTCTGCAACCCAAAGTTGCTCAACGAACTCTCCGACAGCTCGACGCTTCGCGCTATCCCAGAGGCCAGGATGGGTGTCACACGATGGGGATGCGCAAACACTCCTGGCTCACCTGACAAAGCATTTGGGCCTCCCTCAACTGTCAGAGATCAGTGACTACGTGACCAAATACATCAAGCAAAGAATGAGTCAATGAACGACTACATCACCAGGAAGGCAGAGCTCTATGCAAGGACTGAACAGACCCTGCAACGAGCTCAAGGGCACTATGACCCGAAGACTCAAAGGATGCAGTCATCAACCCCGACTCCATCCTTGCGTGAGCAGTCCATCGAGAACCAGGAATTCTACTCAACCAGTGCCCCCATCCTCAGGTCTTCCAGAAAGTTCAGCGTCAACAGAACCTGAGGACCCATGGGCACAATGGTATCAAGGATATGGTCATGGCTGGTCATGGTCTTCGCAAGACTGGAATCAGTCACAGGCTTGGTCACGCCGCTCTACATCCTGGACACCAGTGAGTACAAGTGCTCATCTACAGCTACTACCTGACTTCGTCCAAGGTTGGTTCCTTCCACAGGACTCCACATTGGAGAGCAGTGAGAAGAACATGATCCTTGCCGCCTTGAACTTGCGTCGCTCAGGAGCTACACAACCAATGGAATGATGATGATCTTCGTCGCCAAGATCAAGGAGGAGGGGCTCAGCGTGGACAGTCGATGAGCCAGAGCCCAGAATTCACCTACCTGGCTCAGTCCGGAATCAACCACGAAGGCATGGCTCTCATGAGTGAAGCTGAAGTTGATGCTCAAGAAGCCATGGCTATGATGGAACGAGGTCGTCGAACACTTCGTGAAGCGAGGGCCCAACAGCACTTCGTGAAACTCAGCCGACAGTACTCTGTCAACAAACCAAGGCCAGCGCCTTTTGTGAAAAAGGAGAGTTCCAGCACTGCTTCGACAAAATGTCTCAGCTGTGGAGGCGCCGCGCCGAAGATTGTCCAAAGAAGCCAAAGAGCTTCCAGGTGGATCAGGAAGCCAATCAAGAAGCCCCGTTCATCTGCGTCACTGACCGGGTCTTTGCAGCTGACGGCGCAAAGGATTGCAAGATTTCCACCGCGCAGGCCATGGAACAGGGGAAAGCCGTCATCGACGGGGGAGCGACGAGAACAGTGGGGTCAGTGAAGGCCGTCGAAACGTTGATGAATTTGAATCAGAATTTCAATGGCGCTCAAGGCCTCTCCAAGCTGGACACTGAGCAGCGTGCTTTGGCAAATCCTCCAAGAATCAATGTCTCTCAACTGCGTGCATAAAGATCCAGGCCGAAGGCCGGCCGGGGGAGTTGAAAATTCACACTTTGGATCAGGGCACCGGACCCATTCTAATTCTTATTCAATAGAGACCTTGCGTTCCTTTGCCATTGGGCGCTTTGATTGATTTTGAGAATGATCTTGTTGTTTTTCGTAAATTGAGGAACGCATCACAGCGCTTGAACAATCCAGTTCCGGACATCAGCTCACTCCGCTCACTCAGGGCTGGTACAGTAACTCTTTTCAAGCGAAGTCAGCTGCGCCCAGCCTGAAAGATCTCATCTAGGGACAACTCCTCCCTCCTTCGCCTTCTGCCGAAGAAAGGGATGTCGCAAGCAGTGCAGAAGTGAGCGGACAGTCGAGGTGTTTAGATGGGAGAAGGAAGATGGATTAGGTAGTTTCTCGTTGAGTTTTTGCGACGGTTCGTCGTCCAATCCGGAAACTTGCCAAGAGTCTCACAAACAACACACTATACACCCTCAC